TTCCAAGATCTACGCCTTGACCGAGCGGCGCGCAAACTCGATGAGCGTGCGCACGGGCCTGTCGGGACGAGGTCGTCAGGGCGTGAGCACTTCTTATGAGTGAGCGGTCCCGTCAAAAGAACGCACCTGCCAGTCATTCCCGACAGGTTGTATCCGCCGTCACCCGCGGCAAGGTCCATCGTGCCGGCAATATCGAGGTGCGCCCAGCGGATGAGGTTGTCCTGGCTCTCGTTGTCCGAGCCGTCGACGATCAGGCCGTCGACGAAGCGCTTGAGGAAGATGGCGGCCGTGCACGCTCCACCGAGGCGACCACCAGTGTTGCAGAGGTCCATGCTGCGGGCGGAGGGCCACATCAGTCGAGGGGGCTAGAAACGGACAGGGACAATGCGGCGTACCCAGTGCCCGAGATCTGCTTCATGTAACCCTCGTCGAGGGGCATACGCTGAGAAGAGAGCGGGAGCTTGTCAGTTCGAGTCACGCAATCGTGGGGGGGGACGGAGACGGACCCAGACGCGGTCACGCTCAGCCGCACCGGCAGCGTCGAGCTCCGACCAGAGTGAATCGCTGTTGGTAAAGACACCCGTGACTGGGCACAATCGACAGCGTCAGCGAAAAGCCATGGGCGCGCCAGAGAGGCAGGTCACCTACACTGGTTGCCGAGCGCGATCATCATGGCGCCAGTGAGGGTGGCGACGTCGACGACCGTGTGGGGCTTGAACTGCGACGTGGTGTAGTAGAGCGCGTCGGCGAGCGCGAGGCGGCCCTCCGCGTCGGTGTTGTCGACCTCGATCGTGACGCCGTTCGAGGCGACGACGATGTCGCCCGGCTTGGTCGCCTTGCCTGCGTGCGCCGCAAGCAGAGATTCGCGGCGTCAGCGCACGGCACAGGCGTCAGACAGGAGTCAAGGAAGCGCACCCGAGGGCATGTTCTCGGTGAGCGGGATGCAGAGGACGAGGTTGACAGGGATCTTGAGCTTCGCGATGGCCCACGCTGACGCAAGCGTCGTAGCTGCGCCGCCCATGTCGGCGCGCATCTCCTTCATGGCCGCACCGGGCTTGAGCGAGATTCCACCCGAGTCGAACGTGATGCCCTTGCCGACAAAGGCGAGGGGCGCCTCGTCCTTGTTCTTGGCGCCGTGGTAGTGCAGCTCGAGGAAGCGCAGCGGCTCGTCCGAGCCACGCGAGACCGAGATGAACGAGCCCATCTTCTTCTCCTCGGCCCACGCAAGGTCGTGCGCCTCGAGAGTCACGTTGGCGATGCCATCGAACTGCTTCTTGGCCGTCTCGCAGAAGATGGTCGGCGTCATGCGGTTGGCGGGGAGCTCCATGAGGACGCGCGCAAAGTTCTGCGCCTCGCCGTACACCCTGCCCGTTTCGAAGTCGAGCTGGATGCGGCCGTCCTTGGCCTGCTCGCTGTCGAGGGTCGGCGCTTGCGCCTGGCCGAGGTGGCCGATCTCGACCGGCTCGAGCTTGGCCTTGGCCTCCGAGGTCGTCTTGAGGTTCCACGCGTGACTCGCGAGCGTGGCACCGACGGCGGCCGAGTGAGCCGAGTGGAGCGGGTCGACAAGCCAGCTCTTCGAGCCCGCCGCCTTGAGCGCGTGGGTCGCTACAGCCGCCTGCACAGGTGTGGGCTCGGGTCAGCTGTAGGCAAGGCGACGGCGGGGACAAGCAAGCGCACCGTCCTGCGCGACTGCTCCTTGAGGGCGTTCTCCTCGGACTCGCCGCCCTTACGGTCCTTGGACTTGCCGACGCTGATAGCGACGACCGTCTTGTCGCCGTCGACAGCGTAGAAAGTGCGGGTCTCGCCGGCCTTGTCCTGCGCGCGCGAGGCCTTCCAGAGCTGAGGGATGGTGGATGAGGCAGCCGACGAGGTCGACGAAGAGGCGATCGAACCGTCGCTCGTGACGGCGACGTAGTAGTCGGGCTGGGTCGACATGGTGCGAGTGCGAGTGCGGATGATGCTGGCGAGGGGAAGGGAAGAAGCGCGAGGGAGCGAGCGCAACATGCGGGATCCGGTTAGACCCAGGGCGAACCACGCGGAGTCGAGCGGGCTTCCTTCCCCTCACCGGTCTCTGGAGCCCAAAAAAGGTCTGCCGCGACGTCGTGCACGTGACGGCCGCGGCGGTCCGTCGGGCACGCAAGGCAGAGATGAGCACTCGGGCACTGAGTCTGGAACAAAGAAGAGTCGTGCAAAACGACGAGAGCACGCAGATGTCTAAGTGTGTCCGCCTCCCGCCGTCCACCGAGATCCCGCCTCCCCCTCTCCCTGACCATGTGCTCCCTGCATCGCTTCGTGAGCGAAACAAGACGCCGATGCACGTAGTCGAGCTGACGATGTCCACGGACCGTGGGGAGGTGTCTACCGCTTGTCGCTCGGGCCCGTCGTCGCACTCGCAGCAGCCGCCGCACGCGCCGTTTTCTCCTGCAGCTCGACCTTGGCGTACCCTGTTTGGCGCCCAATTGGTCAGTGACGGCACAGTGACATACAGGGGAACGGGAAAGGGCTCGCACAGGCGCCGCCGCAAAGCGTGAGAGTGATGCCGAGCAGGTTGGTCGGGTTGAGGACGACGTTGAAGATGATGACGGCGAGGACGATTGTGAGGACCTGCTTGACGTTGGGTAGAGACTCGGAACACGGCATGTCAGGCCGGAACCTCGTCAAAGAGCGGTGAAAGGAGACTCATCTGCCACAGTCATCGTGAGCGCGCTCGTCTTCTTGTTGGCCGTGAAGCTGACAACGTTGAGCCCAAAGGCGATGGCGCCGTTCATCAAGAGCGCGATCGCCTTGTTCTGCGTCATCTCGGTCGCCGCGTACTCGCGCACGCGGTCGAGCTCGCCGCTCCACCACCCGAAGAAGACGCACTGCATGAAGGCGAGCGGGCTCATGCGAACGAGGAGGTCGAGCGGGTGCAGCTTGAGGCGGCCGACCTGGACTCGGTTCGTAATGATCGTCTTGAGCGCCGCGAGGAACGTGCCGATGAGGGTGAGGATGAAGCCCCACGGCGTGAACGAGTAGTCGCCGTAGGTTGCAAAGACGACGCCCGCGACGACGGGCACGAGCGACAGGTACGTCTGCCGCGAGTGCCGCTTGCGGAACAGGACGGCCGTCATGACGATGGTGAAGAGGGGAGTCATGGCGCGGACGACTTGGTGAAACTGGTCGAGCGTGTGCGACAAGCGGGTCAGCCTTTCCGTCCTCGTTCTCAGAGCGAGGTAGGGGGAACAGGAACGTACGGGGACCGAGACGAGGTGCAAGCTGAGGTTGCTGACGGCGATGTTGATGGTGTACAGGCCCGAGAACATGAGCATGATGCCGTTCTCCTTGTTGGTGAGGCGCGCCTGGACGAAGAGACCGCGCTGCAGGGCGATCTGGGTCCCGACCGTGCCGCTAAGCATCTGGATCGCCGTCAGGGTCCACGGGAACGGGAAACCTTGCAGGACGAGCTTGTTGAAGAGCGTCAGGCCGAGGTTGAACGCAAAGTACAGGACGAGCCACGCAGCCGGCGTGTCGAACCGTTGCGACAGGCTTGGCGGCCCGCCCGATGACAGCTGTCGCGTCGACAGGAGGTTGTGCGTCCCCGGCGAGTGCCCACCCAGCTCGAGCGCGCCCGATGTCCCCTTGGCGGCGTGATTGGGCGAGGGTGTCCGCGTCATGCCGAGAAGCGACGAGCTCGCGTACCCGCCCTCGCCCGCCATCGGAATCGCCGAGTGCAGGTGCTGCGGCGCCGACGAGTCGGTGACGGGCGGCAGCTGGTGCATCGCTGCGACGCTCGGGCTGTTGGCGTACGCCGGGTGGATCTGCGACGGGCTGAGCGGCGTAGTCGCCGGCGACCCCACCGTCAGCGAGTCGTTGCGGATGCCGTTGGCGGCGCGACCCTCGAAAGGCCACGCCGGAGAGTCGCCGTTCGACGACGACGACGCGGCGGGGTTGGGCGAGTCGTCCATCGGCACGTACAGGCTCGAGGGTCGCGGCGCGCGAGATGAAGTGGAAGGCGAGTCGCTGTGTGCGGCAAAGGAAGACCCTGCGGGAGCCTTTGGCGGGTAGGCGCTCCTGGACGATTCCGGTGTGGGCGACGACGACGACGACGAGGAGGAGGGGAGCGGGGCGAAGGGGTCGTAGGTGCGGGTCAAGCGCAGCGATGTGTTGACGTTGGCGTGAAGGGCGCCGGAGTGGTCACGCGCAGCCATACGTGGCAGGAGATGCGCAGCGAGAGAGTGAGAGGGAGGCTGGGAAGCGCGCTCGAGGCGGCAAGACGAGGCGGGTGGTCGTGCGGGGTCGACGCGTGCGAGATGTCGTTGATGTGCCTCTCAGGGGGCGCTGGTCGGGCTTCAGAGCTGCTCGAGCTGACGAGACCCGTGATGGAGGGGCGTGTGCTCTGGTGGAGGGTGAGACGCGAGGGGACCTGCACCAGTGCGTCAGCGATCCAGCCGGCCGGCGGATGTGCACCTGCTTGATCCACGTACCTCTGCGGGGCTTGTGGGTGACGCGTGCTTTGAGGAGAGCACAAGGGTCGGAGGGAGACAAGGAGGGAGTTGATCGGGGGGGGTCGTCGGGTCGACAAGCGCGCTCGCGGCCGACACGGGAGCGCTGCGCGCGTGCTCTGCTAAGCCTTTGTGCGTATGTAGCTGTTGCGGTTGCCTTGCGCGCGTGTCTGGTGAGCCTGGCACGCGTCTGGAACTGGCGCGAGCTACTTCTGAAGAGGACAAGCAGGAGGGCGAGGGACGCGACGAGCAGAAGCTCTCGGGCCCGCGCCAGAAACGTTCGGTGGGTGGTGGGCTGAGAATCCGGACCTCCGTCGCGCGTCTCCTCGAGCTCCCGATCAAGGTCGTCCGCAGTCAACCTAGATTCCGGCCTGACTGCTCTTTTCGCCAGCCGAGGACAGGCCTTCGGCGGCCGTACGTGCTGCTCTCGCGAGCCGACCGCTCGTCGGAGCGTGCCAAGTCGGGGGGGTTGTTTGTTTGGCCTATATAAATGTAACTTTGTGGGCCCGCATCAACAAAGTCTTGATAGCTCAGTGGCAGAGCGGGCGACTCCAGTGATGGTACCATCGTCAGGTCGGGCGTTCAATCCGCTCTCGGGACTTGCCTGAAAGTGACTCGGCGTCATCCTTTACTTTTTGTGACCCATGCTGCTGAAAGTCTCCTTGCTCAATCGCGGCGTGCCGGATCACTGGGAGCATTTGCTCAAACAATAAACCGGAAGAGGGTGGAAAAGCGAAGCGGACTCCTCCAGCCTCAACCTCTGCAGTCCTCTGTTGCTGACGTTGCCCTTGTCAATGTTGTCCTCTTCAAGGGGGGATGCTGACAGGCCGGAGTTGGCAGCTTGGAGGGTCAGGGCCCAACAGAACAAGAGAGGCCAGTAATTCCCTGCTGGCTCTACAGCGTCCTTTGCCTGTCTATGCAGTCTGTTGAATAGTCTAGGTCATTGTTGGAGGAGTGCTGAGGAGTCAGCTAGGTGGATCGATAGACCGCAGCGCTGCCGGGAGATGGTGAACCGTAACACTTGCTCGGACTGAGGGGTTGAATGGACAAAACCGTGTGGGTTGCGGGCTGTTCTCCTCAGTGTGTGAGCTGGAGGAGAACATGTGACTCAGGCGCGCCGGCCACGAGCCTGCCAAGTGCGTCTGACCCTGCTATGTCCTCTGTCCTCCACTCCTCCCGTGCCTCCCATTGGGAGCAGCCGCGTCGTCCGCTGCCATTGAGGTGGCGGGTGCGAGGAGCAAGGCGAGGTGGGACAAGAGCCAGTCAATGTGAGGCAGCTTTCCTTCAGCCGTCTCTCACACTTGTCAGCCCACTTTTGGCCCGCCAGAACTACAGTCATCCGAAGGACTGTCAAGACTGGCACAGAGATGGGCAGATCACAGGGAGAGTGCCTGTGTGGGGGACACACACGGGTGCGACAGCGTCTGACAATCCCTGCCCCTTGGCTGGTGTCAAAATGTACTGCTGAGTCCATTGAGGGCCAATTGAAGTGTGGAGAGAGCAGGAGACAAGGGGAGCACATCAGAGCGACTATACCCTGCCCAGAAGCTTTGCCAGGGCCTTTGTGTCAGGTTGGGTGCTGTCTCACTCAGGTTTCCCAGCAGGGGCCTGAACGGTGCAGCGGGCGAGGCCGCTGCGCCCAAGAGGAGGTGCAGAAAGAGGCTAGGGAAAGGACTTAGGGTGAGAAGCATGTGCCAAGTCAAGAACGCCGTGTGCGAGGTGCGTGTTCTCCTCAGCCTACCCACTGAGGAGAACAGTTCTGCAACCCATGGTTGTGTCCTTGCAGTCCTTGCAAGTGACAGGGTTGCCGTTGACAACCCCCCCTCACCCAACAGGGGCTCTAAACAGGTTCTCTCACAGGTCTGTAGGGTGAACTGCAGGGTGGGACTGCAGAGTGCAGAGCTTTCAAACCAACAGTAATGTTGGCTGAGGGCCACCGCCTTGCAAAGTGTTCTGGCCCGACAGGCAAAGCATGTGGGCCGGGGCCTGCCTACAGCAAGGGTAGGGAGAGGAAGGGTTGAGGTCAGGGGCCTTGCTCCTTTGTGCTGTCATGCCCGCCTTGCCATACAAGTTGGCACACGCGTGGAGACACATTGCACGCAGCAGGATCTGCAGTCCTGGGCAGATCCGGGCTCACCTTGGCCGCAGAGAGGGCCCAGCATTGGAACCAGCTG